GGCATGGCAGCTCCTATAAAATACATTATGGGAGTTTCCACAACTGGCACATGTACGTGGCTAGTCAGGGCAATTTGAGTGGTCATGACCAACTTGGGCACAGAGGGCAACAGGCTGTTGGAGCGACAATGTTTGGCTGGGAGGCCAAAACGCCAAGATTTCTGACACTGATGAGGAAGGGGTCGATATGGTCGAACATGATAGGATAATCTACCAATATTGCCAAGCTAATCTTGGCAATATTGACGTGGGACTTGTGATGGCCTCTGGGAGGAATAGTGTAACACTGTACTGCCACTGCATCATATTTGATAAGGCAGGAAAATAGGTTATTTTCACAGTCTGACCAGTCCTTGTCATACATGGGACAAGATTTAGGGGAATAGAAACAGTTCCAGTACAAGCATTAAGAGCAGGATGAGGTTCGACAGGAATGGGTTTGCCAGAAAAGTCAGTTAGGGTAGATAGAACACAAGCTTGGGCTTCAGATGTAACCGATGAAAGAGAAGGGTATTCTCAGAATAGGGGGCTGTGAGGGGGATCACAAAGAATCGATCTCATGCAGGGGGTGGGGGGGGAATAAGGTTGGAGTAGTAATAAGGGAAGAAGGGGTAGACATTGAAGAGGACTGTGTAGTAGGAGATGGAGAGGAGAATGTTGGGAGAGAGGAAGGGGTGCTTTCTGGAGGTTTAGTAATAACCTGTGTGGGTGTTTTGGAATGGATAGAGTTGTCAGTAAGCATTGAGGAGGAGGTATTAGTATCAGTGATCAGAGCTGTGGTCAAAGGAGGGTCGGGGTCTAAAACCCATCAAAATCAAATTCAGTTAGGCTATTTGATAAAGGGGCAAGACTTAATACCCCTATTAAGGATAAAGAATCTTCATTATTGCCCATGGCAAGCCTGAATAAAGTGGGGAAAAGAAATGATCTGCCCCTCAGGGTCCTCATAAGGGGTAAGAGATAGGCAATTAACCAAGGGAATACTGTGCCCATGGCTCCCTAAGACCCTTCATGACTGACACAAAGCCAGCCTTTCATCCCTTCAGCACAACTCTCACACCTTAGGAATGGGATAGAAGGGAATAAAGAAGATACAAAAGAGGAAAGAAGAGAAGGCAAGACCAAGCAAAATTAGTTGAGGCGAGGGCTTTGGCCCAAGGTAGGGGTGATCCCCTACATTGGGTCTCAGTCCCCGTCTCCTAAGCCCTCTCACGACGACAACGAGCAAGGTATTGAGAAGGCTCTAAATTTTAAGACAACTTTTTCCTGATATTGTCAATAGGAAATGTGTTCCTTTGGGATTAAATGTCGGGTGTTTGATGCATTCTCACAGTCCGATATATTCTTTTGGATGAAAGCATATCCACTGACCAAACTGACATAAGCGTGTCATCTCCCTGTACACAAAACATTTTTTTGAATGTCTATATGGTTTCTCTTTGCATGTACTCATATTTGACTAACTCCATTATGTATTCAATTGAGAAACCTAATAGCTTCGCTTCCCCTTTCTATGTATTTTCATGTATTGCACTAACTTCTGTTTTTCTGATATGGTTGTATAGCTTCTCTTTTGTATGTACTCTCTTATGACTTACTAGATTCTTTTTCCATAAGAAGGGCTTCTTGCAAATCTCACAGCTGTATGGCTTCTCATTTGTATGTACTCTCATGTGCATTACATGAGTACTTTTTTGTGAGAAGGTCTTTTTGCAAATCTCACAGCTGTATGGCTTCTCTTTTGTATGTACTCTCATGTGTATCACTAGATTTCTTTTTTTTGAGAAGGTCTTTTTGCAAATCTCACAGCTATGTGGCTTTCCCTTTGTATGCACTCTTATATGGTTCACTAGGCTTTTCTTATGTGAGAATGGCTTGTTGCAAATCTCACAGATGTATTTCTCCTCCTTCGTATGTACATTCATATGGCTCACTAGTTTATCTCTTCTTGAGAATGGCTTGTTGCAAATCTCACATGTGTATGGCTTCTCCTTTGTATGTACTTTCATGTGTATGTTTAGACTACTTTTTCGTGAGAAAGCCTTTTTGCAAATATCACAATTGTATGGCTTTTCATTTGTATGTACTCTGATATGGTACACTAGAATATTTTTGTGTGAGAATGTCTTGTTGCAAATCTCACATGTGTATGGCTTTTCCTTTGTATGTACTCTCATGTGCATCTTAAGATTACCTTTTCGTGAGAAAGCCTTTTTGCAAATCTCACAGCTGTATGGCTTTTCCTTTGTATGTACTCGGATATGGAACACAAGAATATTTTTGTGTGAGAATGCCTTGTTGCAAATCTCACAGATGTATGGCTTTTCCTTTGTATGTACTTTCATATGGCTCACTAGATTACCTTTTCTTGCAAATGACTTGCTGCATATGTCACAGGTGTATGGCTTCTCCTTTGTATGTATTCTCATGTGTATCTCTAGATAACATTTGTGTGAGAATGGCTTGTTGCAAATTTCACAAAAGTATGGCATTTCCTTTG